CCCTTTCCAGTATCTACTCTGGAGATCCTGATCACCACTTTATGATTCATCCAGAAACCGGTAGGATTACGGTAGCGCGTTATCTCGACGCAGACAAGAATGATAGAGTTGTCCTGAATGTTCAAGTAAGGTTTCTTCGTGACTCTAGAGCGTCAAGTATTTACCTCCTTTTCAGGCTGATCTCATCAATGGAGGCTCAAACCATACTCAAGTCGTGATCCTTATTGAAGATCACAACGATAACACTCCGAGGTTTCCGACTGATTTGGTAGAGGTTACTGTAAGCGAGAATCAAACTGTGCACAGTCCATTCTACATCGTGCATGCGACAGACAAGGACAAGAGAAAGGTAAAGTTCAATTGTTTTGGGTATTTTGGTCATAATAAATAACTGTTGCCCGGATATGCCATTTCTCTAAAGTTTTAATGTTCCTTTTCTTCAGAAAAAGAGATTCAAAAAGCTTTTTCTGACGTGCAAAATGTTTTTTCAGAACGGTGCTATATCCTATTCGATCATCTCCTCGCACCCTCCCTGTCCTGTTATGGTCCAGCCATTGACTGGGCAACTTCAGTTGACCGATCAACTTGATTTTGAAAAAATTAGAGACTACAGTATTCGCATAAAGGTATGTTGTACTTGAAGGTCGATCTCGTCTAGCATCCGAGAAATATCTCGGAAAAAAATCCAGCATTCCTATTTTCTTTTTGACTCCGTTGAATGCCTTCTTTCTGGCAAACTTTCCGTTGGAATGAAAGGAACCAAAATATCCAGAATAACAGCTAAAAGCTGTTGGCTTATAAGAAAGCAGATCAAGAATGGTGAAAATGAGGCAACACATGGGTGCAAAATTATTTGATGAAATTTTATTATTTTGCAAGTGATGATAAATTTTCCACGAAAGTTTTTGTACGGAGGAAATGACGAATTATTTTTTTAAAATTTGAACGGTGAATTGTCAAAGTTTTGTGCAATATAAGTTTCTGGCGTAGCGGGTGAAATTTCTTTTTCCCTTTTTTGGAAAACGATGAAACTTTTCTTTGAAGAATGACTTATAGCCAGACATTTCAGAATGTTTTAGCTAGCACCACATTACGGACTTTAACGTAAAAGAATCTCCTGTAAAAAGAGTGCTTCGAACAAATTAACGTAATTGACAGAGAAGGGAACGCGTCCCTTAGCTCAAGCTAATTCCAACGCATTTAGGCTCAAGACCACGGTGTCCCACCACGTTCGTCCAATATGACGCTTGTGCTGCATGTTTCCGACTTCAATGATAATGCTCCCGTCTTTGAAAGAAAATCCTACGAAGCTGAGGTAGGGATTAGAGTTGGTTGCTTTGAAAGTAGAACAATTAGACCAATATGAGGTGTTCTAGGTGCCCGAAAATTCACCATCAATGGCTGTAGTGCTCAAGGTGAAAGCCAGAGACGAAGATTCAAGAGAAAATGGTAGAATTCAGTATAGGATAACAAATGGATCAAGTGTGAGTTCATTTTGGAATCCATAGGCAACATCCAGAGTTGCTCGGGTGCCGGAGCTGCGCCA